GTTCTCATCTGCATATATCTGCTTCCTTTCCTCCTGTACCCTATACCCTGAGAATACGAACTTCATTGCTGTAGCAGTGACCTCCCAACAAAAGAAATTCTTACCAAGAAAATCCCAGTGCCGCCTACCGTGTTTTAAAAGGACTGGAGCATGCACAAAACTTTCAACGGTGTAGATCTCCTAAGTTTTGATTCGTTCCCAAGGAAGAACGAGTTGAACAGGACAAAGAAAAGTCTGATCTGGACAGGCACCTCATATGCAGTGATTGGCTGAAGGAAATCCAACAATTCGCATTTAGTATACTTATCCAGCAAGCGTATTTTACTATTCTTTAGAAACAAACACTGTACAGGTAAAGAGAAAGTTGTTCTGTACAGGAATAAAGTAAATTGCTAAGGATGTTGTAGGTCATGTGGCCTGCTTCCTGGAATTTACCTGCGACTGAGAAAAAACACGAAAACCCTCAGACAGAATGTCCGGAATGAGTCAGGATCTTAATCGGGGATGTCCCATAAACGACATTCAGTTGTTCTTAAATGCAAACTGTTGGTCCAGAGACAAAATCATGAATCTTGTTATTAAAGGCGGAGATCTGGGTTGTTCTGTCGTGCAGTATTTTGACCGTTTCGTGAGAACATACTACCTCCATCTTCACATATGCAAACCTACCCAAACCCCACCTGTTCAACTCGCCGTTCCTTAGCAACGAATCAGAACAAAGAGATTTAAACTCGAAAACAGATATTTCTAAAATGCGGTCCGCGGACCATGAGTAATCTCTCTGGCGATCCGCGGAACTGGAATTACAAAAATTTAAGACACGCAATAAAATTAACAAAAGTGCATAAACGAGTAATTAGAAGTGACAACACTTTTCGGCTAAATTAAATACTGCATTAAATGTTTATTCTTTCGGAGGAAGCTACTGCTTCAACTTCAGCCCTGAAGATTAAGACAGTATTTTCTTCCGAAAGATATCATATTTATTCACAAAATGCGAAAAGGCGAAAACTTCATACGTTTGGATATTAATTCACTGGCCTATGAGTTCATATGAAGTGGGCAGAACTTGTCTTGCAACTTAACAAATAAATATGAGTTAATATTCTCATTTATAAATCAATGTATTTTTATAGCTTTTGTTCATTGGATGAAATGAAATTAAAGAAACCAGCCTTTAAAAGGCAAAGCGTGAAAACAACAGGAAACATTTTTCCCCACCTTGGGATAGCAGAATTCTGCATCCAGTGCCAACGGCTTTCGACTCACCCTGAATTATGTGTGACAATGAATTCCTACACTTGACACTTCCGGTTTGTCCCTATTCATAAAGAATCCCTGTTTCAGAGTACCTGCTTAGGGGATCTTATTTGTATGGACAACAATAAAATAATAACATCATAAGATTTCAACGACCGACGAAATAAAATGGCACAGGAAGTTTATAAAACACTAAAATTAAATCCTTGACACAAGTGGGTTCAAAACTAGTTTAGGCTATACAGCGTAAGTACGTAACATCCACAGTGAAACTTGAAGTGGAAGGGTAAGTTATTTATTTAGGAAGACAAGAAACTGAGAAAACTCCAAAATATGGACAAGGCACAAAAATTAATAACTGTGACTTAATTAATTAATTTCATTGTTGACAGAAATGTTGGTTACCTGACAAGGTAGTTCAGCGTGTACAAAAAAAATCTCGTATAATTTTAAAGACAAACCAAACAAAAGAACAAAATAATTCAAATGTTCCAACCTTGAATAAAATTGCAGACTTTGAGTGCACGTAAGTGGCCCATGTGACGGAAATTAAGTAAGACATTAACAATGTACCTACAAATTAAGATCGTGTAATTTATTTTTTTTATAAAAATCACTTAGATTTGACACATTTTGATCAACTGCCTTTGTGGTTTAATGTGTGTTGTAAAAAGATAAAACCTCTTATAAATATTGCAATGACAAACAGATCATAATGTAGGGTCCAAACATAAGCAGATTCTATAATTACCAAAACGACTAGGATTGCAATTGCAGGGTTTTATTACGAATATCCAGCTGTTACGAAGGCGTTGCAAATGAGTTACCTAACATCCGAAAACAAAATCAATAGTAATTATACTGCCGTTGTAAGACGCAATTCCAGTGACGTTTTGTAAATTAAAATAATATTTTATGGCAATGAAAGACAGGAACTAATTAGAACAAATTTCAAGAGACACGCTCAATAAAAATGCATCTTCTTCTTGGCAAAACTTCAGTGCACATATCTTAGAACTCAAAAGCTACATTACATTATATTGGGATTAACTGAAAATAATTTGAACAGAGTTCCAGCAACGCCAATAGGATTACTATAGCATAAAAACTTAATCGAGGGAAAAATTATGACGTCATAATGCAGTTAAACCCAAAACAAAACAAAAAAACATCCGATGGAAGAAAACTGTACGTGTTTACATCAATGATAGGAAGGTAAATATTACGCAGACTGATAGCTCTAGATTACAAGGAAATGGCGTATTTATTCCTAAAACGATCCCAAACCTCTAAGAACAAATTATTTAACAAACTGAAAAGAAAATGTTAATCTGACCTGCCATATTCAGTGGCAACAAAGCACAAAAGCAGATGTTCGATCGACATGCAATATATATTTTTCTACAACACAGTTGGACATATTTAAGATATGTTGCTTTCTTTAAAGTGAAAATTCTGTATCGTTATAAAATGCTGTGAACGTAACGACATGAAAAATGTATTTAAAATTTATATTTCATTTTTTATAATCGTGTAAAGAGACTGCTGAACTCCTTTAAATTTGGTAAAACTTAATAGTATCTTCATTACTCTTGATTTTATTCTGTTACTTAATGTATATATATATATACAATTGTTACTTCAAAGCAAAGCAATTCTGCTGTGATGTTCAGTGACAACAAAGCGCGAGAGATCATTTCTTCATCCAGCTGAAGTCCGCTTTAAAATGTCTAATTCGATAATAAAAAAGTAAAAGGCCTCGTGGTATGTCTGTATCACGTCAATTAAAAAAATAAATACAATTCGTAAAAAAAGGTCTAAGATATTAATAGAATTTGCGTTAATAACACGACGGAAGATTATTGCACTCCAACAAATTCGAGCACTAAAAACATCAACTTCTACAAATGTTTTTATAACTGAATGAATACGAGTTAATACAGTGCGTATAAAAGATAAATAAATGATAAATTGTATGGTGGGAGAAGCACAGAAGTAAGTAATTCAGACATATCACAAATAAGCCTGTATTTCGTTTAAATCTGTACTAGTAATCTAGCTACGAGACTTCAAAACATACTGAGTATTGATCATCATTAAAACACTTCAAAAAAACTTTAATCTGGAAGTGTCCTCATTCGTTGTTACAAATTAGCTCGTTTTAATTCGTAAATCGCTTTATGTTGTCAACTGTTTTCATGCGTTACGAAGTATTTCAACGTAAATTCGTAAAATTCGCGTTGTCACGCTGAAAAGTAACTTTCAGACCACACTACCAGAAGTAACTCAAAGTAAAGTAATTCGTACGCCACGTAACTTGTTCCTTCCAATGACACTGCAACGTAACTAAGCGATGTACTTAAAGGATAAAAAAAATTATACCAACATTTCGTTATATAAAGCTAACTGATGTCGTACCTAAAACTTGCTCACGCGTGTTGTAACGTTAAATGAAAAGAATTATTCCAAAATTATTAGTGGTTCAATTATTGTCGACTCTCTAAATCTTGAATAATTCAACAATAACTTTAGTCAAATAAAAAAGTTTGTAATGTTTGTAGTATTTAGTTTTACTCACGTGTGTTGCTCCTACTGTCGAGTCGTGATTGGTCGTATGGAGACTTACCTTGACGACCAAACTCTGCCACATCCACTGGAGTACACACAACATTCACTAGGTTTGTGTAGAAATCCTTCGCTTTCAAAGTCAAACGGATCAACATAAACAATCCTATGCTAGGAATGGGTTTCGAGATGCTTCAAAAATATATAATCATAAGACTGAACGTATTTTAAACTGAGAACTGAAATAATTTGTGTTATATAATAACAACAGGACTACAGGCATTTAAAAATATGCCTTCAACTATCGTTTGCCTGAAAATTTTACAATTCTGGATCACTTTTGTAATTGGTCTTAGAACGCGTAAGGGCATAAGAAGTAGAAATAATTTATTAAATAAAATAACTGTAACATGTTAATAAATTGACACAATTTAATTTTCTGTATATAAAATAAAATGTCTGCTTTGTATTTAAATTTTTTGGTTTGTTTGTTCTTTATCTTTTTTAAAAATTGCTTTCGTGTGGAATGGTTATCTGAGCATCTAAACTAAATCTATGGTTAGTAAGGGAAATGAACCTCTCTGGTTAAAAAATATTAACAACCTCATAATTCATCAGGTTTAAAGATTTCAATATCTCCAAAATAAAATTTGTGACTATGGAAATAATGATTTGGAATTTTATTATAATTAATTAAATAGTTCTCTTCAATAAGACAATATTATTTCTGAATGGCAGCTATAAACATTTTATTTTGTGGTATGGTGGTTCATATAGGTGTACCTAACGCGACAGAGTACGAGCTTGGGTTTACATTTTGTGTAAAAATATTATAAATAAAAAACACACGCAACAAGTCTCTTTACCTGTTACGCTTTGATAACAAAAAATACTAATAAAATTCTAAGTTGAAATATTTAAGTTGTTTTTGATAATGTTAATTACAAAAGCGAAACGTCTAGTCTGCAACGAACCAAGGAATCCAGGGCGGAGAGAATACGGTCATACATGAATGTCTTCATTTAATCCACTTGCGTGGGAACCTAATAATTGTTATAAGATATATGGCTTAATCTTAAAAAGTAATTTGGTTTCTATTAATTCAACATATTTCATGTGACACGTTTTATCAGAATGTAAAATTACGGAAATGAACTGCCTTGAAATGTACTTACGTATGACAAACAGGCCAACTAGTGTACACCTAGCATTACTCATCCAACGGTCTAGAAGTTTCGTGCCGCACCATTTTCACCCACAGTTGTAACTTATACGACCTCCGAAACTGTGTATCGAATTACAACAAATCAATTACACGTGTATTAACACACTATACACTAACACAATATCTAACACTCAGCTCGATGTGGCTGCAATTTCTATCACTAATAGAAAACACTGGAAGAAGACGCACATAACAACAACCACCAGGGAGACATCTTGAACCGTCCGATGTGACGTATGCAATGCATGGTAACTTGAAAACGTTGAGAGAAGGTCATCGAATCAATCACTGAAATAAAATTTCCCACCCTCACCAGAGACAACTCGCCAGACATGTTGGCTCTCTCAGCGTGTTTCATAAGTTGCATATATTCGGTCATTACAGTAATATACGGTAATAACACTTTGGACATATAACTTGTTTTTTTTAGTGTGTTTCATTATTTTCAAATTATAATTAAGTTTTACGCATGTTTTGTAGTGGGAGGTGACTTTCCATTACAGCACACGTGACTAATCATCATAGCATACGTGTAGGCTCACCTACGAATTTTTAGCCTGTTCCATAATTTGCATTTCTTCGTCATGAGTGAAGGCTACACAATCTGACAAGAACTATGGACCTATATTGCAGCGGGATCCATGACTCGCCATCACAGTGCACATGTATCTCCCACTATTTAGCGCGTTTCATAATTTTCATATTCTCAAGTCATTAGGCACATGCCCTACTTTATGTTTATCAACTGTCTTCATCATGTTTCGTGATTAATATCATATCTCTCGATGACATAGGGTGGTCATCCCATACGATATTTCGGAGAGGGCGTAATAAAACACCATCGTAAAAAATATAGCCTAGAATGTTATGCGATTGGCAATGACAGATACAATGAGCTCAGTTTTGGAATGGTGTAATCAGCAGAAATAGGGAATAATAATTGGGAATTATAAAGTCGTTAGTCTCTACAGGACAGGCCCTTTGCTTAAATAAATAGGGCGTGATGTGCCTGATTAATGCTGTTTGAGGAGATGATGGCTGTTTGTTACAAGAATCATACGAAACTCATAAATACAAATTTCAGAGTTACTGAATGTTAAAGCAGATGGTACATATAATTACCATTTTGTTTTAAAGGTCTAAAAAATAGCTTCGCAACATGGAATAATTGATTTTTCCAAACTACACTCCCTCACCCCTAGATGACCAACTGACGCCATGAGATTATCCAAGAACACTGAAATTTTGTTACTGGAGTTGGCAGCGTGTACCTTCCGGCTATGAAGAGAGAAGCATGAAAACAGGTTAACAGGATGCACGTGTTCCTGTTCCCATGGGCGTCTGTGCCCTTTTTGCGCAATTCTTACAAACCCTGAGTAAAAGAAGGTGGAGTCGCTGTGGATCAAATGACTCCTACAATCGTTTCGTTGCCCTTTTGACGGGAACTGGGGAGCTACAGATGGAAGGACAGAGAGGGCGGTTTGGGAGGAAGAAACTCCTTTCATTGGATGACGCTTGAACGTACTACCCCACCCCTGTGCACTGTTCAAGAACGTAGATCAGATTTCGGTAGGTAATTTGCTGTCCTATCATGAGAAGTCTTCCCCAAGAACCGGGCCTGCGTTCTGAATAGCAAGTCACAGAGTAAAGTCTGAAGCTAACAAAATATTATTTTCTTTTATCATTTGTGCTACCGAACGTGGCTGTGGATTTTTTTTTTTTATTATTCCTGCTTCGTATTCGGGAGGTTGCAGGTTCAGATCTCCGGAAGATTTGGTTTCTGATTTATTTAAAGAAGCTGGCGGTTTTGTGAACATACTGAAGAAAATTTAAGACCTATAAAAAATAATATAAATATTGGGTTGTCGTAAGATAATATTTTAAGAAAGACCCTGCTCTACACTACTACTTAAAAACAAATGAATCATAATTATTTATGATTATAATTTATTATTTTTACAATGAAAATTTCGATGTTTTAAAATCTGTGGCCTTTTATTTCTACTTCCACGACGGCAACATGGGAATATTCCAAACGACCGCGAGTCAGAAAACAAGTCAACAGTCCTGCCACCCTAACAGCGCATAAATGTAGGCATTGGAGTTCAGTAGAGCAATCTAATGCGAGTATAAATGGTAGTCCAGGTGGCTCTGTTCAGTAAGCACAAAAAGATGGGTCCACTCACAAAGAAATAAGAACGCTGTGCGCAATTCCTCTATACAGAAAGGCAATTAGTCGTAAACGCAGTGTGATGATGGGAAAGAGGCAAATTTTATCAAGGTACGCTGATTTCCTTTTGTATTCCTCACCGTCCCTTTTTGACGTGTCTTCTAACCTTCATCCGCCCGCATTATCCTTGCAGGCTGATATACAAACTGTTCAATAGTCTCGTCTGAACAAAGAAGACGAATGAAGAGTGCGCCCGTATTAAATTCCGTTTGTCTTCCCATAATTTCAAGGTCCGATAATACAGAGAGTTTAATTGTATAAAAACAACACAGTTATAATGTATTTCTACGTCATGAAATCGATATTTATCTATGTATTTTTTTGGTTTATTTAACGACGCTTTCAAGTTCTCAGATAATATCGAAAGATTGTATTCGACCTATCTATTTTATATTCGCAATATCGTAGTCAAATTTTTTTACACTTGATCGTACGAGTGCACGGTTTGTGCGATGCGGAAAAATTTCAATAAATTTCTGACGGTGGCAAATTTGGAAGTAAGAAATTCAAAATAGGCTTTGGTGAAACATATGGTGGGGGTCTGGCGGTAGTATTTCTATTGTAATCTTAATTAACTGAGTAGATAAATAAAAAAATAAATTAATCAATAAAGAAAGAATAAAGAACGGTCAGAAAATAAAAGAGAAATAAATAATAAAATAATTAACAAAAATGGACCTGAAAAAGAATCCGTCGTTAAAATATTTATTGACTGACTGATTAGTCAATGAACAATAAGAGCCATCTTTAGACCTTCATACGTACAGTGTGTCCGTAAAATAATGGTGGAGTAACAAACAGTCATAGGTTTGGAGCAAAGCACGAATAAGACATGAAACAAACGTCAAAATAAAGAGAAATTCCCCAATTTTTCGATACGTAAATAGGTTCTTGTTAGTCGCCATGATTATGGTGCAGAGGAAGGTTAAATATGTTTTGTGGCTTGCTAAGTTTGAGTCAGTTACACTTGTTAGGCGTGAATACCGTCGTGTGTTTAATGAAGAACCACCACACGAAAATAACATTTTCCGTTGGGACAGACAACTCAGAGAAACGGACAGCCTACTGACGCAGTCACGTCCAGGACGACCATCAGTGTCTGACGATACCATTGAAACTGTGAGAGCAAGTTATCTGCGTAGCCCGAAGAAATCAGTGCTGAAGTGTTCTGTAGAGTTAGGCGTTCACAACATTTTAACGAAACGACTACGCTTTACTGGTTATAAAATTCAGGTGTTACGTAAAATTTATCCACAGGACAAAATTAAACCATTCGAATTTGCTACAGACATTCTTGATAGGTTAGATCATGATGGGGAGTTTTTAGACAAGTTTATGTTCAGTGATGAGGCTACGTTTCATGTTTCGAGACGAGTCCATCGGCATAATGTTTTAATATGGGGTAATGAACCTCCATATGTCATTATGGAACATCAACGTGATAGTCCAAAAGTTAATGTGTGGTGCGTAATTGGACGAGAGAGAGTTATTGACCCCTTCTTTTTTGCTGAACAAACTGTGACGGGAAAGAACTTCCTGGATATGTTATGCCCCAAATACCGGAGAATTTCATTAGATGGAGCTCCTCCAAATTTTGCCACATTCGTGCGGGATTACCTAAACTAAACATTTCCTCAGCGATGGGTCGGACGAGGAGTGTGAATTTCATGTGTCTATCGTGCTTTTCATAACCACGGTGGTCTAGCGGTTAGAACGCTGGCCTTGTAATCCTGGGGTCTCAGGTTCGATTCCCGGCGGTGCCCGAATTTATAACTTGTGTCGGGCAAGGCCGTGGTCTAGGCAACACGGATTTTTTCTCCGGGGGCTTCCCAGGTTTCTCCGTGACATCTCAACAATTACTCCATTCACACACAGAAGAAGGCAATGGCAAACCACTTCTGGATCATCTGCCAAGAACGTATATGAACAGGTCCCAGTCCGAGAAGAGAGAAGGATGGAAGGATCCTGTTCATATGGACCTGTCCTCAGACAGAACACTAACACTGTACTTCATTTTTATCAGAAGTGGGGAGTTTCGTCGAAATTAATCGGCAATTGTAGCCTGCCTATGTACGCTGCCTTTTCAAATATTGTAAATCTCAATAAAAAAAAGTCTGTAAACCCACCTGAGGTGTACAACGGCTTTAGGACATCCACTAGAGAAACTGGTCATAATATAACTGAGACTCACTCCAAAGCCAGACAATTACAGCATACGGTTTGACAGTAAACACAGTGGCATTTTAATTATTATCTTAGATTTGAAAATACGACGGTAAATAACACCTGATTGTGTAGAAAATGTTGTAAAGAAAACATGTGTGGTGAACAAGTTAGAAGAAAATTTTCATTTTGACTGTCAGAGTTACAGAAATGTGACGAGAGACAACATCTGTTACGTTCAAAGCTGTCATCTGTCAATAGCGCAGCACAAGTCACTGACTTTCGCTTACAGAATCTTGATACTTCGATCTAATTCTTACAGATTCAGTACTGTCGGTTTTGAATCAGACAATTTTAACAGTGAAAACGAACCTTACTTAAAAACAATCGAGAAATGATCTCAGTGACAGATGAGTAAAACAGTCACTAAAAGAAATGTGATGATATGATACTTGAAAAGGAGGATGGAAGATTCAAAACGAATGGATAGACCCCTCTCTGCGGAGAAGAATACAGCCCGTCTGCCACAACAGGCATCCTCAGGGGAGAAACAAGTGGTTTGATTCCCAGCAAAAGAGGGGTGGCTTAGGGTCACAGATCCGTCGTCATTGACTGCACCAGAGGGTAGAAGACACGGGACTTCAGCGTTAGGGCGGTCCCTTTGGGGTATAAAACAACCAATGGCAGAACTCTAAATCATGGCATAGGTTCGTTCTATAGGAATTAGGAGGGGATGTACCCCTGACTAAAGGTGGCTGCCGTTAGCAAAGCCTGAAAGTCTGCCGAAAGCTACCAAAAGTCCGTAACTGAGAGTTTTGTGTGTGAGGAGACCAGGAAACTGTGGCTCGTCCGAGTGTAACTTGTACAAGATGCAGCAACAACACCATATCGATCCTCGGTTATCAAAAGTCGCTTCTGGAACATCGAGTAAGTTTTGAAACATCTGGTGACGAACAAAGTTGTGAGTAACCTCTGCACAGCAAAAATCTGTAGTGGTATAATCTTGGGTTGATGACTGTAATCGCACTTGCATTTAAAGTATACTTTGATACAAATGTTTCAAAATAATAAATCTTTCATAATAATTATCGATCAATAATCTCTTAAATTTGGAACTTTCTAACGTTCTTTTATATTATTTATAAAACATTTCTGATGACCACCCCTTACAAGTAACTAGTAAACAACAATAATAAAACATAAGGTCTATTATAAAAATAAAATTATATTGTAATACTATTCCCCACTAGACTTGTCCTATACGCAAGTTTAAATTATGGCTTAGCCTTCAATTAATTTGAATGAAAATTGTCCTAAAAGTTGGTCGTTAAATTATATGTGCATTTCTTCATTATTCGTGAACACATGTCAAAGAAAACATGTAGGTACCTATTAAATTATTATCAATAATAATATTTTAATATCATCATGTCAGATGACCGTTGCATTCAATTATAAATAATTTATTCTAAAAAAATCTTCTTTGCGAATTATTTTATAAAACTAATTTAATCGGGAAAGAAATCATACTTTCGCGTTATTTGAAAGGATATGGCACTGAATCAGTAACCCCTCCACTGTGCTGAGTATAACCAGTAAATTATCTTGTAAACTAACCTAATCATAATAAAATGTTTGCTGATTAAAACAATTTTAACAGAAAATTATTATCGACTAATGATACCTATACAAAGCAAATGACGCTCAGACAACATTAAAAACAGGACTTTCCCGTGTTTTATATAAAAGTAATAGCTTTCAGAGCCGCCATCTTGCCGGCTTTATAAAGATCGCTGTACAAACCGAAAGTGCACTAGCCATCAGTTCGATATGTTTTTAATAGAACAACGCTTTTAATTTTCCTCTCAGAAATACTTAAATTAGACACACATGAAGGAACAAACAGCTTCACGAATAACAATATGATTTAAGACAGGGATAAAATATAAAAGACTACTCCCAGACCAAATTAAACTACTTGAAACTTCTTTTTCATTGTTCAAATAATCAGAATACGGCACTGGCCGTAGTGTCAGCTACTGTCTGAGATCTGTCGCGTCTTAGACAAAACATCACCTATGTATAAAATTTAAAAGAAATATTAATTTGAGGACCATAAAATTAAAATGAGTTGCTGATTCGCGTAGTTTATATAGCTTCATACCAAAGTTGATTCGCCCGTCATCAATAATAGTTTATAACATTAACCCATTCAATGTTACTATTTCCAAAGAGCTTCCGAGCTGTTATTATTAGGGTTTCGTATGCGGGAGATCCCTGCTTCAAATATATGTAAGACTACGTGACTGAGTTATCTTTATAAGGTTCCTCTGCAGTCAAATGACGGGACATTACCTCAATCAGGAGGCGACTTTATTCCATATCCTCGCCAATTCATTATCAATTGACCATTCGACGCATTTTAGTCTGAACCACTGACAACGTCGTTAAATAAACAATAAATAAGTAAATATTACTAACAACTATATGACCCGTGTCGCTGCGCTTATATTTTGTGACTGAAGTATTATAAAATAATGATTTGTAGTTTTTCCATAATGGAATCTGCCAATTCCACTTAAAAATCAAATGTTAAAATAACAATTCTGGAATAATTAACTTATTTGTAACAAGATTAATTTATAACTTGTATTCATCTGGCATATCCATAACTTATTTCACTGACGAGCATTTTAAGTTATAAAGTTCGCGTAGGTCACTCAAAGTAGCAAATGCAGTCAAATATTTTTAACTTCTGCTTCATTAAACGTGAGAAATAAAATGTTTCAATTAAAGTTTAAAACATTAATAAGACTTTTACGTCATATGTACCATTTTATGTACAGTGAACCATCTTTAAGGAAAATTAATAAATTATATTTAAACTTTGTGTAATGTAGGGGGTATATCGCTGCTGACTTTAACAGAAGTTCAGACCCTTTAAAACAAATTCCATTCATATTTGTTGAGTGATTAAGGACAGCCGAATTACACAGCACAACATCCCACAAGACGGACATCTTAATATTCGTCATCGTGTGTTTTGAGACAAAAACACGTCTTTTATAAAAATATTTTAATTCCTTGATTTGGACGTCGAAGCAATGAGCTATTTTCGATTCTTTCTTTGTTCGCCCACAACGTGTCAACTACTTAAGATCATTCAGCACAAAATGTTCTTTTTATCACGAGAGTTTTCTATTCTGCGTACGTTCTACTGTCTCAGAATCAATCGAAAATCGCTTCTACTTTCGACGTTGATGTTCCGAATTCATAAGAATTTCTGTTAAATATGACTAGCGTATTATATTGTGAGAGCAGGGCCTTTTTGTGTGGATAATGCATGTCTGTTCATCTTTACACCTTTGTTTATTTTTATAATGTATCATACGTTGCGGATTTTCTCACGTTAATTTTTAGGATGTTACAATAAAGAATTTCGACGCCATATGCAGCACGCGGTGCACTATGGTAATGCGTGAGAATGCGGTGATGGGAAGATCTATGCCAATCTGTTGAGTATCATCTGCTTCTATTGTTTAGCTGACACCATCTGTTCTCTGACCGTATATCATGTGTGATGAGTGATTATGTTTTTGTTTTGTTTTTTAGAAAAGTATTGATAAATGTTTTAAACTGTCAATTTCGTAATTCATAATATCTGAAATACGATTTAAGTGAAAATATAAAGAAAAGACTTGCACGATGTTTTAATGTTTTGTTTCGGTATAAAATGTAATGTAATTAAACGTCAGTTTCCAAATGGGAAAATATTCATAGACTATGTATAATGATGCTCCCGTTTAAAGGAAGATTTGAAGATTGAATGTCCCAATACATTGCCACTTACGACGTATAATTCAACACTTTTTATCTTACAAAATAATATTATCTTACAAAATAATATTATAAAGAAAAATAGATGATGAGGGACCTATTTTTGTTAACAAAATATACCTACTGTATGAGATTTCTGATTCTCACGTTAATAAGTATGAGGACGACTGTCTTTTTAAATGTATAGTTTGGTAGAAACTGAGCGACGTTTCAGAGGAGCGGAATGCCTCCATCATCTAGGCGTCGGCCAATTTCTACCAGTTCGTGCATTTTATAAACCTATATCAACTGATGAGATTATATATATATATATATAACGCGGACAACCCTGTCTCAGACGCGAGCAGAGTTAACGGCTTCTGTAATGTGAGTGGTCTAAAACTGCGCACATTTTAGATAAAATAATAGTGAACATTTCAAGCACATTAGTTACTATATGTACCACCCACTTTAACTTCCAACAAATCTGTAGTGAAGTGGCACATTGAACTCCAGCCGCGAAAACCTAAGGTAAGTTACTGTCAAATGTGTAAACTTTTAAATTCAAAATGGTTGGCCACTCTTAGACGAACATAACGGTACGGCGTTTTAAAAACACTGATACAGACAGTAAATGTGTCCCTTTTGTCCTCAGGACCCTTCTGACTTAAAAATCTGCCTTCCGAGCCCGAATTTAGAAGCAACAGTCTTAAGCTGTAACCAGAATGTTGGATCTTCATACAATACACAAGAGAGAAAGGCAAAGAAAGTTAAAAACAAGATTTCTTGTGGCATACCTGGTAGAGAATCTTGCTGTTGAAAATGTTTCTAAGAAGCTGTTTATCGAACATTCGAGTACTCTAACAGGACAGATGATGTAATGTTATAAATGATTACAGCATACGTCGTTAGCGGGTTTGCATAACTAGGAAAAATTATTGCGGTAGAGTTAATTTCATTTTAGTTCAGTCCCGGAGCTCTTGGTTTTCGCGTTCTTCATGAAGCCACATCATTCTTTGGCAGCCGTCATACACTGAGGAATGCAGTATGCATTCGCAAGATATAATCCCTCCGGTGTCACCACTTTTCAGTAAAATTTTGAACATTTAAACGTTGATTGTTGTGTCAAGTAGTTGTGTAAGTGCAAGTTTTCACTACATAAAACTCTTTTAACTTCGTACAAGACGTAACTCTAAACAGATCATAAATTGTGTACGTCGGCGTGGCTTAGCAGTACAATTTCCATGGAGAAAAAGGTGTATCCGTGTAGTTGAAATTAATGAAACAGACCATTTCGAATACACGCTTAAATAACAGAATAATACATGAGTTGAAATGGATATAGAGTGGATTCAGTTGGCTTAGGACTGGGTACAGAATCAGAATTTTGTAAAGAAGGTTTCATGAATGTCGGGGAATTTCTTGACAGCTGAGTAAATTTTATTTTTCTCTAGGAGGACTGTGCTCCATGGAGTCACATATGGAAGAAAAACAATGAATTATAATTTTAGCCGAAATTTGTTTCCTATGTCGGCGGCCATTATGTAAAGCATATACGTCACGAACAAGTTACTATACATTATATTCGGGCACATTAAAATCGATATATGAACGTTTTAAAAATATCTTCTAGAAACTTTAATATAATGCTTGTTATGAATGTTATTTACAAACTATTCGACATCTATCCTCCTTCGTCCGAGGTTTCCTTCCAGTGCCATTTTCTATATACGTTGAACAGCCATCATAATCTTGACTTTAACACTGTTGTTATTAAGCCCAGATCTTGATACATACATCTTAGCTCTTGGTACTTCTATACTCCACACATTTCTTTCATTTGCTGGCCCAAATGGTTCCCATGTACCGGTTACCAACAGTAATTAGTTAACACGAAATTATTTTCTGATCCCGGACACCGTTTGGTAGCCATTTATAAAGACGTATATATATGACGCATATAAGTTGTCTCACCTTAAACACTTAACACAACCTCTATAAGGCTCTTCGTGTTTAGACATTATCTCAAGACTATCGCAATAAAGCACGCATGTTACAACCCACGTATGATTCATATACCTCCTTGAGCCACCTCCTAAGAGGTTAGCATAATAAAAAGGCCAACTGCTGAGAACTCATGCACTATGTATCATAAAGATATATTAAAACGACATGCACATGAAAAGGACTAGACAGCTTACAAATTATCTTTCATGTATTAAATAGACAAAGAGTGAAAATGTTCTTTGCAATGTTTCATAGCTCATTGGTCATGTTCACGTTACAGAAGTCAAATTTGGACTTCATCAAAATCATATTCCCCTAGTAACTTAGAGTGCGCAGCTAAGAAGTACTAAATATAATCTGAAGGCGTTGGGATGCAAATGTAGCAGAAATGAACACTAAGAGATGCCTTCACTATTTATTTGTACAAAGGAATTTTGCCGTAACCCGACACAATTCATGCTGAAGGTCTGAAAGCGGTACTGCTAAGGTCCCTTTAGTGCGAGTGGTAAGAATCATAACAGAACAGCACGAAAACACAGAAAGACGTGGACAACTGTCTGAGCTCCAAGCAAGCCACCATATTCGGCAGATAATGCAATTACCGCATCGAACCGGGATCCACGTGCAGAAACGGAAATGTTTCCATAGAAGTGGAGACACCGGAAGCACGTCCCGTGACAAGAGTGCACACCGGGTGGCAGAATCAGGCAGTTACGTAACCAACCAGGCGTGAAGTGTTGAGGGGCCAAAGCTGAGTAACTGCCCATACAATTAGGCCTATCAGTTACTGTTATTTGTGGGGTTTTAAAATATGACGAGAGCTGTGGATGAACTACCTGTCGTGGTTTATAGTTATTAAATTCGGTGCTCTAAGCTTATTATATCAGATGATCGCTGCAACCATTTGACAAAAAATCTGTCCCTACCAAAAATAAATCTCCATCATCATATTTCTTTACTGACTGATTCCTTCTGTTAAGAAAGCATTTCGTGTTCTCCAGATTAATCGTGTAAAACCCAGTAAATTCTACATGTACTGCCTGATCTAATTTAGCAATTAATAAATATGAATTTTGTATAAATGGGTTTAGTTACGTACAGCGAGTATTTCCTTTAAAACCAGTTGATGTTTTCTTTGAGGTATGGATTGAATTCTAAAATACTATTTAGACGAGCTTCGGCTTAAATTGGTTAAGTTAGTGTCAGCTGATTCATTGATTCTGGGTTCAAACCCAGCACTGAGGGAGTTTAGACCACTGGGGTAAAGTGACCTCGTACCATTATTGTACCTACTGCGATTCTTAAGTACCTTGTTCGTGGGCAAGGGAGAATGAAGGCGACCTTTCCATTTCGCACTGAAAAGTTTACCGCTGCCAGTCTGAGGAAGTCGATGTCTGGATTACTTTACAGCTTCTGTCCGCAGTAGCTGGCGTTATGTTGTGTTGTCTACCCGTCAACAGTCTCGGGTGTAGAAAGCCAATAATTAAACTTCGTATTTTGACCGTAAACCGTGTCGGCGGCTCAAAAGATTTCTAGGTCAACAAAAGGTTTTCACACAGGGGAAAGATGTCCTCTGAGCTATACTATAACTAGGCACCTAAGAAACTAACCGGCTCGTTAAGCACTTAATTTGTTAACCAGCTATGATTCTGTCTTCTGGGTTCTACCGCTACAAACCAGCCATCTTAGAACTCACCACTATGAGAGCCTCAAATTCTAATTAATTAATCAGCTGATTATTTTTTTCATTTCACTGGTAATCATAAGAAACATCTGGATTAGTAAACAGTAAATCTGTATTTTGTATTTATGAGTTTGTTATATGATTGTCGGAATAAATAGCTATTATTTCCTTAAACAGCATTAACCAGTTGATCTTTGTAATGGTGAAGTGTGGTGTTTTCTTCGCGGTACGGACTGAATTCTTAAATATTATTTAGACGGTCTCCGATTTCAAAGGGCTAATCGGCGCTTCCATGTTCTCAGCTATCTTATTCAAAGCACGTAAACCTATACATCGATAACATAACACTAAATTATCAAATTTTCAAAATTATCGTTTCAACATTTATTAATGAAAAATCAAAATTCTGCAGTCTCTGTTACCTCTCAGTACTTACCACCCTAACGTATTCATTATGATTCTATCGTTTTCAGGACGAGCGGGCATTGCCTGGAAAACTTCTAACAATGCGACAGTAAGATGATCTCCCCCCCCCAAATAAATTGTCTCTCACTTCTTCCCCATAATTTCTTCTTTTCTCCTAATATTCTGCCCAACTGTCTCTGTTTTCAGGCTTAAGAGGGTTAACTGTCGCATTGGTAGAAGTTCAGAACGGAAACAATCCAAAAGCCAGCTTTTTAATATGATACAAAAGTAACATACCAATAAAACTGTAGAGATACGGTGGAATTTAAGTATTGATCATACCGAAAAATGTTTTAGATAAAAAGTGCGCATAATAACAAGAACAATATAGGCATATTTTATGTCGTAAATAAATATTTAATAGAGAGATGAACAGGTTTCGAAAAATTCATACAGTACTCACCGTTCCTTCGCCAGCAGCAAGTTGGCGGGACATTATGTTCTCACGGTGACTATCATCTGTTACGACGTGTTGTCTGGTAGGAATTGACCGACGTTTCAAAGGCGCTAACATTCTCCATCATTAGCGCTATAACCGATTTTTTCAGAACATATTGCTTTCAAACTTCATTGCAACATAGTAGCCTGTGGGGGTAAAAGAATTATGAAGATCACTACAGAGTTTGCATGCAACCTGCAAACCAGCTTTAATGAATTACCGGATGATAATAAAATTAATTTATGTAAAATAAGGATTATAGTGGATCGTCATGATTAGAAATTACATTTACGGAGCGGGATTTATTGTAAACGCAAGTGGTTCTGGAAGTGATGATGACCCTCCAAATACATGTTTTTTAGTAACCCTTGTTTATTCCTGCATATGGCACGTATCTAAATTCCGACAGATGTGTGGTGCTGTATGGGGAATCGCGTGGGAATCTACTTGTGCATCACGAAAGGAGCTGAATCTAAAGGCGTCATCTGGCAACATCCATATGTTGTGTCACCATGAGAATGTTGGGCATTGTGTGGTACATGGGACCCCCAGTGTCAGCGGGCACACCTTGTATCTCATTGTTTCCAGACCGACGTCAGTAGAATAACGTCCACCCTAGGCGATTTTAAAATTTATGTAACTATTATTTATCCCGATTGGAGAATACAGGGTATTATCCTAACACATGTTTTCGCTATCCGCGGTTTTACTTAATTATTACCAAAAGCATCAATATCCTGTCCGCGGCAAGAATTCAAAGTCTGAATATTTCTGTCTTCTGGGTTGTTGCGCTGTGTAGACTGGTAGTTGTTTACCAACGTTTCAGAGGTCATACTGCCTCCGTCATCACGGTTCAACAACCCAGAAGACAGAAATCTTCATACTCACCGCTGTAAAAACCTCAAATCATGCAATTCAAAGTCTATTTAATACCTCCAATTAATCTTCTCCGGGCTTTTCAGGAAATATGATCCGGACAATAAGTTAAGCATCAAATAAAACTCTTTCGTCAGTTTAATATCAAAATGGCGATTGGTTATATTTACCGATTTACAAGTTTTCGTTATACGCGACGACACGTAGGATCGTGAAGCCTATTTTATGGCCTGCTGCATTTGAATGTAAAATCGGCATTCTTAACGCGTCTTATTTTCACAAAACGCATAAAACAAATACACAGTGAGATGATGTATGTCTTTTCGTCTGTTAGCATGTTTAATAGATCAATTTAATTTAATATAAAAAGTTTATATTTTAATTGTCATAATCAGTATTAATATAATTCCATCACTGAAATCAGAAATCAGACAGGTGATGGATCATAAATATAACAAATTACAGCCTCATCTTTTGCGGTAACATTTGGTGATCCTTCCTGTATCACCGTGCATGTGACACTTCATCACATAGGAAGCAGATAATATCCAGCAACCTGTCACTTCCGGGGGCTTGATACTCCCCAATAACCTCCCCACCTTCTGCGCAGGAAAAGCACATTCAGATATACCAGCCCTTTAATGCAGCCCTCAGACGAGGGCACAAAACACCGGAAGAGGAAAACTGAATGCAAGAAATATAATAATAGTAGTAGTAGTTTAAAAATCTACTGAATAAAGTCTCTTTAAATGGCTCGTAGACTCAATACACAATTTTCGACAGATTGGTTCGTAACAGTTTAAAACAATCTTCTGTTTCACTCGAAACTTTTAATTCGAAATTTATATTATAAAAATCGCCCCATTTATTTCTTAATTGCAAAGTTAATCCCTACATCATATACACAATTGCATGTTAAAAGAAAAATTGTGAAAAAAAATAATATAGAAAGATGATCTTAAGGCAAGTACAAGAATTAAGTTGCTTTTGTCTGTAAAGACGAGAATACTGTTACGAATGCATAATTCGTAATTACATTCTAAATACTTGGCTCATATAAATTTATTTCCTCCAATGATGCGTTTCAGTCGTTCAAAAAAATATCCCGGTTCGATAACAAGACTGCAGTAAGTTCAAAATAACATCACAAACTTACAAATATTTCTTTTCTGATCCAGGTCGCATCCTGTACGACATCCCATGCAAAGTATGCCAAGACCATTCGTCCGGCAAACATTACGGCATATTTGCGTGCGACGGGTATGTACCAGCCGCTCACAGTTCTTCTTTTGTTTCACTTTAGTTTTTAAACTCGTGCGTCAAGAGGCATTGTTTCGATTTGCAGCTGTGCCGGGTTCTTCAAGAGATCCATCAGAAGGCAGAGGCAGTACGTGTGTAAAGCCAAGGCGGAGGGTAGCTGTGTGGTTGATAAGACCCATCGCAACCAATGCAGAGCCTGCCGACTGCGCAAATGCGTCCAGACAGGCATGAACAAGGATGGTAAGCGACGCCTGCTTGCCACTGTGTACATAGGCTTCGAGGATTTATAAATTAATACACAATTTATTACGTGTTCTTTGTACGACGTACAGCACAGCGAGAAAATATTATGGTCTGTCATGTCTGTACAGCCGATTCAACTCAAAAAACATGAGACGGATTTGGATGAAATTTGATTAGAAGTCTGTGCTATTCTGTAATAACAGAATGACGGATGAGGAAAGTCATGAGGTAGATACTGAGGTGCTGTTATCTATTGGTATTCGATAGAGAGCATCATTTTAATATATTTTAAATGTTAATTGTAATATTTTAATATTTTAACATTTAATAATAATATTTTATTGTGATTTGACTGATAAAATTGAGCAACTATTGGTAAAATTTGAAACTATAGAGCGAGATAAATGAAAGTTGCAAATAACGCACGAGGAAATTGTGTGTATTCCCGTAAGAATACAATTTTTGAACTTGTTACGATGAGCCGAGATAGATCAGTAAGTGCAGTGACTAGGCTACGGGATGGACGAACTGAGTTCGATTCCCAGTAAACCAGGGATTTGCTGTTGTTTCCAAAGTGGTTCTGGGGCTCACCCAGCCTATCAAATGTGTAACCTAGGTCTTAGTCTCTTGGTTCTAAGAGCAATCCATTTATTCACTTCATCCTGTTCCGAGGTTAAGAACATGTAGAAAACTTCCCTAAACGTCTTCACGGTGCTTAACTGAACACAGGTACAACTTTACAGTTTTGTTTAGTTTGCTCATAATTTCACTACTTCATATTTCCATATTGAAAGTTGTGACATAACCTCAAAATTTCGTTTAATCGTTATGTTTGTAATTCTTAACACATAAATATCTTCCCTAATCAATGTGTGCTCGGTGTTACTCTGCAAAAACTCAAAATACCATAAACTGAGCAGGTCCTAAACTGGTTTTGAACACAGAGCAGCGAATAGAAAAGCACTTGATAATTGTTCAACCTTTCAAGACCAGATTAATGTTTAAAACGAGAAGAGTCCACTACTTACAAAGAATTCCTCTTTCTGCTTCAGCTGTTCAACACGAACGAGGACCACGGAATTCGACGCTACGACGTCAGATGGCCCTTTACTTCAAAGAACCGAATTCACCGCCTCACGGTGACCTGTCGGGGGTGTTGGGGGTTGCGTCTGTGTCCAGGCTGCTACAGTCTCCGCCGCCCCAGCCGCCGCCTTCACACCCCGCAGTCTTGGACCTGGCTCTGCCCAAGGCACCGCACCCAGAACTGCCTCATCCTCTGTATCACGCGAACCCCTTCTTCTGCAGCCCCGTTGCGGTTGCTGTGCCTAAGGTTAGCATTTAACAATGATATATCAGGTGCATAGGGTACTGGAAACGCTGTGTAATGAAAACCATGAGCGCAGTAGTCTGGACGAATCTGTGTGTTAGGCGTCCGTTAGCGGATGATCAGAAGGGCTAGAGGGACAACACATACGGAAGCATACGCTGTCTATACTAGAAATTATTTCCCAGCGGAAGTACTTTGTGGTTTGGTGTCTCAGTTCCTATGTCGGTAATGTTTTTGGTTTACATTGTACATGCGTTTGTTTTGATTCTTCTCTCAAGCTAGTGAAGTGGGCGAAACGCACGGCTTAGTCCCAGCTACTGTAAGGTTCACTTGCATGACACAAAACACGGACAGTACATTTTGAGACACTGTATCCTGTTACTACGGATTTTATTCCGTAACAAAGAAATAACATCTGTCCTTAACAAAGAGTGTTCCTCGTAACTATTTACACTTATCACAACACTTTTGTATTGTTTCATTCAATGACACGTTTAAGCTTAGTCAACCATCTTCAGTACTACTTCTACTCTTAAGATGAAGGTGATACTACAGAGAAACATGGACAGATATCCATAATCCAAATGGGATTCGAACCAGCAAACACAATATTTGATTGACATAAGAATTATCAAGAATTTTAATACTCTTCCAGAATCTTCGTGTACCTAATAGTCGACTAATACATATTTGTGAAATAATATTGTACAAAGGGTGTTGCACGGATTCCTTTAGTTTGGTTGTTTCGACTTTCAGTTCCCCCTGGGTCCGATTCTAACATCGCCCTTCCCGTCACATACCACGGAGACCCTGTGCGAGTCTGCAGCCCGACTTCTGTTCATGAACGTGAAATGGACAAAGAATGTCCCAGCATTTACTGCTCTCGACTTCCAGGACCAGGTGAGCCTCCGCGCATCCAGAAATCGCCGGCAACAAAGTTCATATTTCCAGATTTTTTTTTCTTCAAAAATGTTCGCCATTGTTTCGTTAGTTAGCACAACTGGCAAAATTCCTAAGGTGTTACTGGGGGTAAATTAGACAAATATTTGCATTTCCTATCAATATTTACTGTCCTAGAGCTTATAGCAGACCTGATAATTCGATACGTCACGTTGGATATAATATAAAAGTTTACGTCCTTAAGCCCAACACCTAGACTCGAACCCAGGGCAGTTTTCGGATTTGTGACCTTTGTTCCTGTAATCTCCTCTTTGAAGCAAATAACTTTGGTCCAGGTGCCATCTTTCTATCGTGCTCAGTTTCTGAGCTACAGAAACTGCCTTCACCGGAAACCGAACTAAGGACCCATTTTTCCAGAGTTTTGACCTCCTACGTTCTCTTCCTTGTCTCAAAGAATAAACATGCCAAAGTTTTGTGCAAATCGGTATATCCGTCGCCGAGCTATAAGCGAACAAACATACTGACACATAAAACATATAATTTCAACGTCATGTGTAAGATTTAACTGTTTCTGGGTGCAGTTGCTGATGTTGGAACAGAGTTGGAGAGAACTTTTCGTACTCGGGGCCGCTCAGTATCTGCTGCCTTTGGACATAGGCCAACTTATGAGCCTTCGTGGAGCCCTCGTTGACAGGGATTCAGCAAAGGAGGCGTCACTCCTGCATGAGATCAAGGTGTTCCATAGCACAGTTACCAAGTTTAAGGACCACAACGTGGATCCCTACGAGTACGCTTGTCTGAGGGCCATTGTGCTGTTCAGGGCTACCGGTGAGTTACAACTGCAAGTTATTTTACTGTTTCATTTATTGCGGTTAGGAAATTTTGATGTCACTGGCTGTTTTGCAGTTTTTGGGCGTATGTATCAATGATTTCACTGTCTCGGTGATTTTTACTATAAATTTCGTCTGTGATTTCACTGTCCAGTTTTTTTTTCATCAGGAAATTTAAAAGTGATTTCATTTTTCTGTTCAACTCTTCTACACTATGGAATTTTGCGGTTGTTTTGAAATAATTTTCTGTTCGATTAAACCAAATTATAAGCATTATGTAAGTCAATAAATTAGTATAATAAATCCATGTCGATTAAAATTAAAAATGACTTTCTTGTATAGCAATTTAAGAATAACAAAATTTTATCTGTGAATAAACACAATGCAATAAATTCGTTCTTTGGGCTTCTACAAGCATAACATGAAATAAATCATGTCCAAAACTTTAAAAAGAAAAGACGTAACCGCGGTGAGAGTTTACAAGCTGCAGAACTATACGGTATGCTTTGGAAACCATTAATTTTCACGTAATTTCCTGTTAACAGATGTTGACAGCGGAAGCAGTTCTGCTAGCAGCAACAAAAATAGTACAACGGGCATTGATCGCAGGACCTTGGCTAACCCAGCAACAGTGGCGACACTTCAGGACCATACACAATATACCCTGAAGAAATACAACGACACCGTTCATCCCAGAGACCCCGTACGCTTTGGCAAACTTCTTTTGTTACTACCAACTCTTAGAACAGTGTCGGCAGCCACAATAGAAGAACTCTTCTTTCGAAGAACAATAGGCGATATTCCCATCGAAAGAATAATATGTGATATGTATAAGACGACCGACATTTGAGTGCCACAGACCAAAAATGGGGATAAATTTGTGGGATTCTTAAACTGTATTTATCTGCATGGGGGTGGGGACAGTTCATGCATAGAAACATCCACTGGAATATTCTCATTCTCGAAACGACATTTTTCATCGCCATGTTGGAAACTGCAGGGTGAACAGAAGACTTTAAACACATCATCGAATCTCGGTGAAATAAACTTAATTTCGTATTAAAAACACAAACTCATCTTCATAATTTAAACAAAAAATCATCTTCGTATTCAAAGACGCAAATGTCTGGTGCAACATTTGACATTAATTTCGATTATCTTAAAATAATTTGTAATCTACAACAAATGGGGTTAACCCTAGTGCTCTCTCAATGATGTGGGATATTGTTTGAAAAATCTATTGTTACTCGGCTTGTCAAATAATAGACCACTTTCTTTATTTAACACGAAGGTTCATCACCGTGTTCACAAAATCCCGCCACCGGACTTTATCCTGAGCAACCCTATGACAATACCAAATAATATGTGGATGTTTTATATTTTTATATTGCTATACATTGAATATTAAATAATATTATTAGCTTTAAAGCACAACTGTGATTATAGCACGAATAGTAATGTATGACATGCTGTGAAGAAATCATTTTGGGTACAATTCTTTCATAAGTGAGTGAAATAATTTTTGTTAAATTATATTAAATCTAAAAAGAACTTAATTGAATAATGACAAGTACTGCTCTCTGCAGTATGATCGATAATTATATGTAGCCTTAATTATTACTAAAATAATGTAATTACATGGAGAAGGCCATTTTTGAGAACCTAATAGGAAATTGGTAAAATTTAGTGCCCTTTATTTAACCTGTAGATGCATTATTGTTTTTTGTGTGAATTGTGTACATATATCTTGAATTAAAAATAATGCATTTAAACCTAGAAATGTTCAGAAGAAAAGTGGCTCCAACACTCATAAATAATGCCTTAATCTCATGTACTTATGTTAATCAAAAGTAAGTTTTGTAAAACACGAAATTTCTTGGTGTCTGCAGAAACTTTCAACTTTGTTTGTTACGCACAGCACATCTTCTCTTATTGTCGTCTGACATACATAAAACATACAGGCCTTGAATCTTTTAATGTTCTAAAGTTTTATTACAATTGTATATTAGTATTATTAAGATATTTGGACATTAGTTATTGTTGGTGACTTAAATCACTTAACAACGTCTGATAATGATAAGTTTCAAACAGTTTAATTCAGCCTTTTATTAAGATTGTGTCACACCTGAAAATGGAACAATTTGACTAAAACACGTAGAGGTAAAGTAAAAAGATTGTTAAAATAAATTGTGTGCAGATAAAATAACGCATATTGTAATTATATCATACTGCACATTAAAAACCTCTAACTAAGATTTATACATGAATTTGATGAGACATTTCATGAGAACAAAATAACAATTTATTTTTAATACAGGTGGTTGATAAATTTAAAAGATTGTTTTCAGTCATTGAATTTAGTGTGCGTTCACTGATAAAGTTTAACGCATCTGTCGCTTCTCGGACCCCGGCTATAACTACATGAGTCACCGCCAAGCAATACAAGGTTTACCCGATAAAAGTCAAGTATTGGTCCATAAAGACAATAAATATAATTTACCTATGTTATAACAGTTCCTGCCAGAGCCAGGAAGTGACAGTTGCGTTCAGCTTTATCAGTGAACGCACTGTACATTGAAGGCAAAATATTTGCAGTATGCCAAAATGTGCCTTATTATACTTTTGAAAGAGAGCAGAAAGCTATGTCTGTACTATAAATATATATGAGTATATTATTTAAAAAGTATAAATGATTCAATCATTATCCGTGCTGTCAAACCGCTTTGCAAGTTTCCATCTCATGTTCCTTCTCCTATACTGCAAACAGCATTCCATCACATCTAAGACACTTTGCTGATAAGTTTATGGAGCATATAATTATTAAAGAAAATTAATCTAATTGAAAATATCACATTCTACAAACGCCGCCATTGGACATTATCTTCAGCCAGTCGCATCTTCTTCCCATCCCTACATCGTACTTATTTTAATATTTCAAGCAGTGAGTTTCTCCATTAAAATAATATATAAACTTCTTGTCTCATGAATTCGTGCTACATGTCCATCCCAACATCATCTCCTTAAAACGAATAAATCTGCGCGCTACGCAAACTTGGTTGAACCAGTCACAGTAACAACTACAAAACAACTACGCACTCGGAAAGTCCCGCGTTCAAACCTCGGAACAGAGACCGACTATCCTAACAGGTTTCTCGTGATTTTTCTCAGTACCTTCATGTAAATGCTTGGTGGTACCTGAAATTAGGCGACGACCACTTCATTACAAATCTTTTCCAATCCATTCTACATTAAACACCTATCATTCGACGCCGTATAGTCTGGGCAATTAAACCACAAATGTAAGACGGAGGACGAGCTCCAGAGGTGTTCTGGGCGTGGTGGTAAGAAGAAGTCTGTGTTTCGTCAATAATTAAGACACAGCAGAGTGTAAGCATATGGGGATAACAGTGCCAGTTTCTAAGACATGGCGTCTTGCTATGCTGTGTTTTATAGTTTGGTGCTATTCACAAACAGGAGGAAGAAGGCACATCCCTATGAAGGCTGTAAAACCCTCAGTACAATAGCAATTTTCTGCTAGACTAGTGTTTTATAGGGGGAGGATTTTGGTGAAGCAGGATTTTCGACTTTGTTGAACAATTCTGTCAAACTAATGACCTTGCTTTTCGAGTTTCTTTTTGTCGGCACGCTAAAACGCGGTGGCCAGAAACAGCAACAAAGTCCAGGTACAACCACTGATACTTGTTCCACGGATGGTCTGCAGAAAATTCATCACAGCGAAGCCACTTGAAGGGGAAAAAGTTATTGAAGAAACATTTACTACTCCCAGGATGATGAACAAAGACTAAATTTGAATCCCGGCAAGGAATGAAGTAAATTTTTCCGTGTGTTCAATTACACGCCGTCATGAAGACGCATGAGGAAGCAGAGGTGTAACTCCACATATTCATAACATCGTTATGTCGTCTGCAAAGTGAAGCGGTCTATAGTGAAGACATTTGTGTACAATGTATTTTATGTAGAGGCACATTTTTTACGGAGCGTTTCAAAGGAGCATATTACATTTTCAATGCCGAGCTTGCGGACAAAGTATGACAGTGGTCATTTTAATGACGACATATGAGTGTCACAGCAAGAATAATTTTATCATCATCTAAATTATCGACAGCTCCAGGAAGACCGGTATCTTGTAACGTAAAATATTTCCGACGTTACGTCCGTATGATACGTGCCAGTGGTTGAGATTACGTCCGATACCATCGGGTTCTTGTTTATTGTCACAGACGGTCCAAACTTTGTGATTTTCTGGTTAGCTTCTAGCCATGGTAAGAAGGAAGAGATTTTCCGGCCGGATGGCCTAATGAGACTGTGCCACGTAGGCTATAGCAAAATTTTGGCGACTCTGAACGTTGTAAAATTTCTACCTGCAAATAAAAGTCAACAAAGTTATAAACATAAGGCTGTCGGTTACCCTTCATATACCCGTCTCCCAGACAAGTAATTCCAGTGAGCAGACTGTTCTGGGAAGCCAATAGCCGCTCATCTGGCAATGATGAAAACCCAAGGTTTATTACGGTGTTCACAAGAGCTCGCCACCAGTACAAATCCCATGCCAGATAAATCCAATCAAAGTTATTCCATTCTATCTCCTTAGCATCCATTTTAATAGTATTTTCCCATCAACGGTTACGCCTACCAAATGGTCTTTCCCCTTTAGGTTTTGCGACCAAAACTTTGTATGTATTTCTCATCTCCCCCAGTCTCGCTGAGTCACATCGCCCTGACGATGGAGGCAGCAAGGACCTATAAAACTTAATTATGTTCCACAGAACTTACATGAGTTTCATTTAAATCCGTCGAGCAGTTCATTTGTGTCACTGTTTTTAAAAACGTCTCTTTATTCCGGTATTTTGATCTCCTAACCCAGACAGCAGGGCTACTAGCTACAAAAGGATTTCAGTTCCTAGATGGGTTACAAATTTCTTTTTCGACATCACGTCCAGACCGTCAATGGTACAAACTAGCGTCAAATCGAAGATATTTTCAAAGGAGTAAAGAAGACGGAGCGTGAAACTAACTATGCACCTAAATGTAATGCCAAGGTGAAGAAGGCGTAGAGCTATACATCCACGTACCCTATAAGCCTGCACGGGGTGGTACTTCGTTTCAGGGGCGATGTGTTTAAAATTAATTTTAAATAGACGCATATTTATTTTATGTAAATCTCGAAACATCCGGCAGATATGTACAGTTTGTGAGCGTAGGTAGGTCTTCATGCTCCATAATAAATATTATACGTGTCTCATACAAGGACTGGGTGTAAAGGTAAGCAGGCTTGAGGCAAGCATAATTAAGCTGTTACTTTAAATTCACATTTGCGTGCTCGTAGAGAGAAATTAAATTTTAATGAGGATATCAACATACCAGGGGTGGGAAATTACTTATATTAGGAGACCAGATATTTCTAATTCGAAATTATTGTAGGTGGGTACCATTCGTGATAAAAATTCTATACCGAAATAAAATAAATTATTAGCTGTTTTTAAAATGTTTTATGCTTATTCTTGTTTTGGGCATCTCATCACTTAATAAATTATAAGGATAAACCACAAATTTCTTCGTTATGTTCTTTTACATTCTGGTGTCACTTCGTATACGTCACATCCGAATATCCTCCCCAGCACTTTGTCCTTACAGCATAAAAATAAGGACTGAACTACGAACGTGAAAGAGTGAACACGACGTGAAAAAGATGAGAAAAAGTGAAGTACATGAGAATTTGTATTGTAAAAAATAAAATAAAGCGACCCTCTCAACAACCTGACCTCATGCAGCGAGGTACACAAAACACAAACACAGTAACAAATGTTTGTCTCAAGAGTCCTCAACACATTCTTGCAGTTTCGCCCGCATTGCTTGCACCTAGCTGTGTACATGGGCATTTGATTCCCGTGGGATCGCAAAGAACAGTTGCCTTTAACTGTAGGTGTCATTCCACTTCAAACACTACGTCTAAATTGTTACAACTTCAATGTTCGACCTTAGTAACAAATGATTAAAGTTTTTTGTGATCCCTTCTTAAAATTACTTTTGGTACTGCCACGGAAAAGCTGTTACAGAACTTTGGGCCTTACGGGTTAATATTAATGACTATAAGTGGTTTTACTACTCCAATCTACAAGTTTCTGTAACAATAATGTCTGTGACAGCCACCAGTTCCAGATTGGCGCTGTGTCCACGTAGCTTCTTATCAAATGCTTATTGTAGACTGTTTTTGAGGGAGTAAAGCTGTCATATAGTGAAGCTGTCCAATCACACTCATCTAGTGTCAAGAATAAGAATGCAAATATGTCTTCACGGCTTGATACTTAATTATGCACAGGAGAATTTTTACATTTACCCTAAGTTCGCTTGCTTCATCTCTGGATTATTCTTATTAATTTGGGGTTGGAAGTTTAAATTATAAATCCTCAGGAAATTTAATTTTGTTCCGTATTGACATGAGGACGGAAAATGGCGTTTACTGTACTGGTAAATAAGGCGAAATTCTGCTGA